CCATGTTGGGTCTAGATTCCTGCCTAACATTCCGACCTCTTTCTAATAAGAAAATGGGGCGACGTGTTCATCCGGCTGCTTCCTGCTGGTATGGGTCGTCGTGGGGTTTTTCGGAGGTCGGAACTCGGGTATGGGGTGGAGCAGCTGATTGAAAGTGACCTGGGAGACTTCTTTCATGCGGTCCTGGATGAAGTGGAGGACACAGGGAGCTATGAGTAGCAAGAAGCCAATGATTAGTAAGGGGCTTAGAAAGGGTAGGACTTAACCGGCCACAGATGACTGCCACCACCTAAGTAAGGGCCTCTTGGGTAAGTTCGGTGGCAGCCGCCAGGGCTCGCAGACAAGGTTGCCAGCCCTGGACTGTGGGATCTAACTGCTTGGAGAGATAGGCCACAGCCTGGTATGTGGATCCAACCGGCTGGGCTAGGAGGCCAGTGGCTACCTTCTGGTGCTCCTCGGTGAATAGATGAAAGGGCTGAAGGGGGTTGGTGAGAGAGAGAGCAGGGGCAGAAAGGAGACAGTCCTGAAGCTTCTTGAAAGAGTTGGCGACCAAGGAGGGGTCGGACAGCAGTCCGGTGGGTGTCTCCCTGGCAGCCTGGTAGAGGGGCTTGCCTAGGACCCCGAAGCTGGGAATCCAATGCCTGAAATACCCTACCAGTCCTAGGAAGGACAAGATCTCTTCCGCATCCTGAGGAGGCTGGAGAGTTTTAATGAGGCTTATTCTATCTGCCGTAAGGCTTTTTGTAGTGGGTGTGAGTAGTATGCCTAGGTAGGTGACAGAAGGGGTGCAAAGTTGAGCCTTAGTCAGGGTAACCCAATAACCTCAGTCGCCTAGAAAATTTAGAAGTGTAGCAGTGTCTGCAAGGGAGCACTCCCAGGAAGGACTACATAGTAATAGATCATCTACGTATTGTAGAAGGGTGCTATGGGTTAGGGGGCAGAGGAAGATGTCCTGTGCCAGTGCCTGTCCGAAAAAATGGGGGCTATCTCGGAACCCTTGAGGCAAGACAGTCCAGGTCAACTGGGAAGAAACATGAGTGTCTGGGTCCTCCCATGTGAAGGCAAACAGAAAGGGGCAGTCTGGGTGTAGAGGGATGGTAAAGAAGGTATCTTTCAGGTCAAGGACAGTGAAATGAGTGGGGTCAGGGAAACTCGTGAGAGGAGTGCATATGGATTAGGAACTACTGGAAAGGTAGGGACGACTGCCTCATTGATGCAGGTCCTGCACGAGGCGATAGTCCCCAGAGCTTTTCCGTACAGGCAGGATAGGAGTATTGCATGGTGAGCTGGCGGGAACTAGAATGCGCTGTCGGAGCAGGCATGTAATGATAGGTTTTAATCCCTGTCGATGTTCAAGGGAGATAGGGAACTGGGGTCTAGAGGGGAACTTGGAAGGGTCTGTTAGCCAGATGTGGACCGGAGTGTGGTGCTGGGCAATGATCAGGGTGGAGGTGTCCCACACCTTAGGGTTAATGGGGACTGGAAACGGGAGTGGGGGGTCAGCCTGGCGGGGTTTGTCAGATGAGAGGAGGGGGAAGAGGAACGCGAGGTGTGGGGAGGGGTTGGGTCGGAAGTGAACTGAGGCCCCTAGCTTGGAGAGGAGATCTCGTCCTAACAAGAGGACTGGGCACGAAGGAATGATAAGAAATGAGTGCGAGAAGAGGGAGCCATCCAAGCGGCAAGACAGAGGAGGAGTCTGGCGGTAGGTGGAGGGAGTGCCATCAATTCCCATGACCGTGACAGTGGAGGGGTGGCTGGGGACCACTAAAGGAAGGTAAAACAGAGTAGGTAGCCTCCAGGTCCATAAGGAAGGATATGGACTTACCCACTACCTGGGGCATAACCCCGGCTCGGCGAGAGTGAGAGGGGTCCCCGAGTCTGGGCCTCTTCAATCTTCGTCAGTGTCGAGGAGCTGGAAGGCGCCTCCAATACCTGGAGGAGGGTCGTCACGTGGAGGCGCAGCGACCGTCCTTAGGTCGGGGCAGTCTGACTTCCAGTGGCCCATCTGCTGACAGTTCGGACAAGGGCGAGTTGGCTCCTTTGGGTTAGGGCACTGCCTGGCCCAGTGGCTGTCGTTGCCGCACTTGAAGCAGGCACCAGATGGCGCTCGGGGAGTACCTCCTTTCTGGGAGCTCCTGGAGCCGGCCAGCCTCAGGGCTGCTACCAAGGCCTGGGTTTGGAGTTGTACCTTCAGTTTTAGCCTGGCCTGTCATTGGGCCTCAGCTGCTTCCTCCCTGGAGTTGTAGACCTTGAAGGCCAGTTTGACTAAGTCCTGGATGGGAGTTTGAGGGCCTTCCTCCGCCTTTAAAAAATTTTTTTTTTGGATATCAGGGGCCGACTGAGAAATGAAATATGAGGCCAAGATGGTTCCTCCTGCAGGGGAGACAAGGTCAAGGCGGGTGTACTGAATAAGCGCCTCAGTCAGCCCGTTAAGAAAAACAGCTGGATTTTCATCTGCGCCTTGGACTACCTCCTTTAGTTTGTTAAAGTTGACTGATTTGTTAGAGGCTGCCTGCATGCCGGCAAGAAGGCACTGAACCATCATGTCTTGGCGGCAGCGGCGGCCTGCCTGCCCCACCTGGTAGTCCCAGTTGGGCTCAGCCGAAGGCACTGCCTGGCATGGCAGGGTCAGTTAAATGAACCTGGTTAGCATGCTGCCTGGCTGCTGCTAGGATGCGTTCCTGCTCCTCAAGAGACAGGGTTGAGGTCATAACGACATGAAGGTCGTGCCAGGTGAGATCATATTCCTGGCATAGATACCTAAACTCTTTGATATAACCAGTAGGATTGGCCGAAAAGGAGCCTGCACACTCCTCAACCTTAGACAAGTCTGCCAATGAAAACGGCACATGGACCCGGACTACTCCTTCGGCGCCTGCCACCTCTCATAAGGGACACAGGAGGTCGGTCCTGGACCGAGTATGGGCTGAGACAGGCGAGGAAGGGGAGGAGGTGGAGGTAGGTGAGACAGAATCTGTCGGGTTTGGTAAGGGCACAGGAGGGGGGGAAGGGTGGGGCGGCATTGACGAGGATGGGGATAACGGTGGGTCAGGGTGAGGAGGAGGTTGGGCAGGAGACCGGAGGGGTGGCCAGGATAGGGTGTCAGGAGGCTCAGAAAAAGAGGAGGAATCATCCTTCTCCTTGCCCGAGGGAAAAGACTTTGCGAGCAGAACTTGAGCTAACGAGCATTGGGCGCAGAGATCTGGGTGAGAATGCAAGTCCCAAAAGGCCTGAACATAGGGTATCTCAGACCATTTGCCTAGTCTCTTGCAGAAGTTGGTCAGATCGGTGAGAATGTTAAAGTCTAGAGTGCCTTCTGCAGGCCACTGAGACTGATTATCCAATTTATACTGCGGTCATGCTACTGTGCAGAAGAAAATGAGCCGCTTTTTTTTAGGTCTTGGCTGAGACTTAAAGTCTGGAAATTAGCCAAGAGGCACCTCAGAGGGGATTTTCCGTCTGGTTTGGACTGGGTAGTTCCCATGGTCTTAAGGCGGGCAGTCCGGAGGCAATGGGAGCGTCCTCTCACTGCCACGCGGAGTGCGGGGTATGGTGGCTTCCGGGGAGGTTGGACGTCTCCTAGTCCCTGGTGCTGAGGTCACAGCTGACGGGAGAGAGCCCCTGACACGGCCGCGCGTTTCGGACAGGGACTCCGGGAGGGAGCCTTCAGGACGGGGGAAACTTACCCAGCAGTGATCGAATTGAGTCTTAAATTTGGTGAGACGGGTCCAGGCTTGAGGAGGGGATCCCAGCTCGGGGAGAGGAGAGCCTGCCCGACCCAGCAGGGGTCCGGGGAGGGGGTCTCCTCCCTGGTTTCGGCACCAAATGTAAAGGTAAACTGAGGCTGGAGCTGAACCGGGAACGAAGACACAAGGCAAATAAATGGCAGTGAGAATAGCTTTTATTAGGGCTTTCGGGCGAGGTTCCTCAGTCCAAAGGTGTGGGCCGAGGAAGTCGCGCTGAGGGAGGAGGGTGGGGGCTTCTTATAGCCTGAGAGGTAGGGAAGCTGGTTGTGCAAACAGGGCCTGGGGGGTCTTGAAACTACTAGGGCAGGAGTTGAGTAAGGGTCATGAGGAAGGGGTCTTTGGAAACCGTCGACGGAAATTGCTGTTGATGAACTTGTGGAATGCAGGTGAGCTGCAGGTCATGGGGGAGTGTGACTGCCCAGCCGGAACTCTGACGCATGTAAGTCTGAGGGCGTGTACAAGGGTGAAGGGAGTCTTTAACAAAAGGCCTGCTAGCCGGGTAACGCTGCCATGTTGGGTCTAGATTCCTGCCTAACAACGGGGTTTCGCCAGGTTGGCCAGGGTGGCCTCGAAATCCTGACTTCTGTTGCCCAGAGTGCTCATGGCTCATTGCAGCCTCCACACCCTGGGCTCAAGTGATCCTCCCATCTCAGCCCCCAGGGTATGTGGGACTACAGTCACGTGCCACCACCGCAGGCCTCCTGTATTCGTACATGTATACAGTAACTCACAATTAAAGCGTAAAGAAATACAAGATCTAGTCAAGGGTATTGGGAGAACTGGCCTAGAACTTTCTTCTTTCACTAAAGAAAATTTTAACTCTTAAGAAATATTCATAATACAATCGTCATCGTAGTCCATAAAATCGGTATTTTTAGTTGCCAAAATTAGAAGTTGCATACAATTACAAGAGTAAAATAGAATTATAAAACGGTACGTTAGGTTTAAGGTTTATGGCCGGGTGGGGCGGCTCACGCACTTTGGGAGGCCGAGGCAGGCGGATCGCTGGAGACCAGGAGGATCGCTGGAGACCAAGAGAGCGGGACCCAGTCTCTACAAAATAAAAATAAAATGTGGGGAGAGGGTGACGTTTTCCAGGTACAGAGGGGAGGTCCGGGCAGAAGCGCAGGGAGAAAGTATGAATATGCTGAGCGTATTCCGGGAGCAGCAAGTAAGCCGGTGTGACCGGAGGGAAACGGAGGCCTGGATGCCGGACGGTGAGGGTGACTGCGCCAGCGTCCGCCCAAGAAGTCTCCCCGCTTTCCCGCCTTTCCTCAGCCTTCGGCCCCTTTTTGCTTGCCTTTTGCGCTGTGCTGACTCCGCCCCTCCGCCGGCGCCCGTGGCCTCGCTCCTGAGGGAAACAGGCCGGAGGTGGGGCCGGCGTGGTCATCTCCGTGCGCCTTCCCTCAGGGCGCCGAGCCGCTGGCGCCGTCTGTCTGACGTCACGGTCACTGACAGCGTGAGCCCGCGGCGGCTGCTGCCATGGTGGCTGGCGGCCGGGTAAGGTTCTGAGTGGATCTCCTGCCGGGCCAGAGCGCGTTCCTGGGCCGCAGGGGAAGGCCGGGAGTTTGCAGCCAGGGCGGCGGGTTTGTGGTCTGCAGTGTTGTGAGGCTGAGGTGGGGGGTTGAAGGCCCAGAAGCCGGACTCTGTGACCCGGATCGGAGGGTGTGCTGGAGGGGTGGCTATGTCCAGGCTGGGTGAGGGGAGCGGCAGTGGGGCCCAGGGGGCTGGAGGAAGCCTTAGGGTTCAGACTGGGATGCAGGTAGTCAGGAGCTCAGGGTTTGGGCAAGGGGGTACCTGCCGGGGTTCTGCCTTTGGGGTGGGTTTACCAGACTCACGAATCTCTCTCTCTCCCTACGCCCGCCCGCCTGCTCCCGGTGGCTTCTGCTGGCCGCAGGTGCAGGATGTCTAGACTGGGAGCCCTGGGTGGTGCCCGTGCCGGGCTGGGACTGTTGCTGGGTACCGCCGCCGGCCTTGGATTCCTGTGCCTCCTTTACAGCCAGCGATGGAAACGGACCCAGCGCCATGGCCGCAGCCACAGCCTGCCCAACTCCCTGGACTATACGCAGACTTCAGAGACCGGACGCCAGGGTAGGAGCCCGTCTCCTGAGACCGCGGTCACTGCAGACTGATGGGCCTGGGGTCTGGGCTGCTTTTGGTGGAGATTGTGGGACAGGGCAACGTAGAGAAGCGCCTTAGGGTTTCACTTTTTTGGAAGCTTGTTGAAAAAGCAGTCGTCGGGCCGGGCGCGGTGGCTCACGCCTGTAATCCCAGCACTTTGGGAGGCCTAAGCGGGCGGATCACCTGAGGTCAGGAGTTCAACACTGGCCTGACCAACATTCAACCAGATGTCAACATGGTGAAACCCCATCTCTACCAAAAATACAAAAATTAGCCGGGCGTGATGGCGCGGCCTGTAGTCCCAGCTACTGGGGAGGCCGAGGCACGAGAATCGCTTGAACCCAATAGGCAGAGGTTGCAGTGAGCTGAGGTTTCACCACTGCACTCCAGCCTGGGCGACAGAGTGGGACTCCGTCTCAAAAAAAAAAAAAAAAAAAAAGGCAGTCATGGTTTTCTCTACTCTTTACCCTGTATTCCCAAGCAAGGATATTTCAAAAAGACTGCTTAGCTGCTTAGCTTTCACTTTTAGTTCTGGCCACACTAGTGCTATGTGGGTGTTAAAGGCACTTGCTTAGTGTTGGGTGAGGTGTGTAATAAGTAGAGAGAATCCAAAAGAGGGCAAAAAGAATAATCTTGTAGGGATTAAAAGTCTTCAGGCTTATGTATTAAATCATATATTTGAATTTGAAGACAACTTGGAAACTATCTCATTCAAGTTTGTTTGTTTTAATCCCTCCTATGAGGAAACCAAGATTCAAAAAGACTCTGTAACTTTCCTGAGGCTGTCACAGATTAAGTGGCAAGGTTGGGCCTGTTGGGCCTGGTCACCTGGTCCCCTGGTCCAGTGGAGTTTCTACGGCATAGGGCTAGGAGCACGCTTAATGCAATTGAAGCTGAATGTGGCTGGCAGCCCGCACAGCTGAAATGAGTAGTTCTTTCAAATTTGCAGATTTGTTAATTCGTTTGAGCAAAGGATCTAGGGCTGGTTCAAACTACTACCATATTTGTGCAAGAGGAGTGTTTTTTTCTTTTCTTTTTTTTTTTTTTTTTGAGATGGAGTCTCACTCTGTTGCCCAGGCTGGAGTACAGTGGCATGATCTTGGCTTACTGCAACTTCCACCTCCCTGGGTTCAAGTGATTCTTATGCCTCAGCCTCCCAAGTAGCTGGGATCACAGGTGTGCGCCACCATGCCCAGCTAATTTTTGTAATTTTAGTAAACATGGGGTTTCCCCATGTTGGCCAGGCTGGTCTCGAACTCCTGGCCTCGGCCTCCTAAAGTGCTGGGATTACAGGCGTGAGCCACCACACCTGGCCAAGAGGAGCGTTTACATTATCTCACTCCCACGCTAATTGGAAGTGAGTGTTTTCTCTGATTGCCAGTGTTAGATGGTTTGGAAAAGTTAGTTCTGGAGGAGTCTTCAAAGAGCTATCACCTTAGATTGCAACTGATTGTCAGCACTTTATAATCTGGTGGTAATCTAGTATTGCAGTGTGCTTCCTTCCCTTGTATTTTGTTTGTTAATTGCTTCGCAGTAGTCTTTCTTCTGAGATTAGAAGTGGCCACATTCCCAGAGATCTTTCTTGCTCTACATTCTTGAGCATTATTGGATGTGTGTTGTGGCCTGGCCTAGTTTTTTTTTTTTTTTTTTAACCAGATTTCCTTAAAGAAGGGATTTATGCTTGCCATATTGTGGGGTCCTGCCTCTCTGGTTTCCTTTTTGTTTTTGCATTTTTCAGTCCAGTTACCATAGGTGGCTGTCACTTTGCTACCATTCCACTGCTGGAATTTACTCAAAAGAGTGAGGCCTAAGGTTGGGTCAGCAGGGCTTAGTAATGGTGTGTTTCTGAGGCGGTTTGGATGGACTTTTTCTGGTGTACCTCTTCTCTTAGCAACTGCCCCCTTTCTCCTAGTCCTTCTCTGATACACTAAATGAAGTTCTGGGAGAAACTCCCAAGTTTTCCCTACTATTGTTTGTGAAGTGAGAGATCAGAATGTGATGGAGCTCAGTTTTAGTTTTAGTTTTGCTGTGTGGTTGGTATTGACTCCCTGGTATTGGGCACTATACGGTGAGGTAAAGGTTTTTTTTTCACTCTAGCAGGACAGCTGTCCTCCTTCAGATTCCACACTCGGGCAAGCATTTTACATTATCTGTCGTGGTGTGCAGCATTCCTGAAGGGCCCTGGTATGGAAGGTTCTTGGGGCAGAGGACTCTTGTTTAGAGATCCCTGGGTAGTTTCTTGGGACTTGTTACCATGACCTGGCTGTGAACGTCTGCTACCTGAGCGTCACTGGGCCTTCTCTTCCAATGGAAAGCAGGTGTTCTTGAATTCTAGGTGTGAGATCTCTTCCCCACTATATTCCTGGGTGTCACTGGCTCCCATTCTCCTTCCTTCAGTGATGCTCTTGCGGGCTGTCTCAGGTGGGGCTGGAGATGCCGCAGTGCTGCCCAGCCTTCCACGGGAAGGACAGGAGAAGGTGCTGGACCGCCTCGACTTTGTGCTGACCAGCCTTGTGGCACTGCGGCGAGAGGTGGAGGAGCTGAGGAGCAGCCTGCGAGGACTTGCCGGGGAGATTGTTGGGGAGGTCCGGTGAGTAATGCAGCTTCCTCTCCCGCTTTATCCCTCCCCTGCAGCTTTTTCAGCTGAGGTGTGTTCTGGCCTTTGCTTTCTGTCTCTAAAGAAGAAACCAGTTTTGTAGCTTCTAGCCTGATCTGGGTGGAAGCGGTACGTTTGGTGCCTCGCCTTGCACACGCTCCTTGCTGCTTCTGGACTCTCATGGTTGATCTGTTGTAGCAGCTGAAATGCTCTGTTTGCCTAACCTAGTCTGTCTGTGTGGTCTGGGCCCAGGGAGCTGCCCTTCTTACCCTCCTGAGGGTTAGAGACCTAGGATTTTCTCTGCTTTTGGCCCTTTAATGAGGAGCAGTAGTAAGAGGCACCCCATGGTGAGCAGAAAGATAGGCTGGATGGGACCTAATGGCACCCTTCGGGATGGGGCCTGCTTTCCAGATCCCACATGGAAGAGAACCAGAGAGTGGCTCGGCGGCGAAGGTTTCCGTTTGTCCGGGAGAGGAGTGACTCCACTGGCTCCAGCTCTGTCTACTTCACGGCCTCCTCGGGAGCCACATTCACAGATGCTGAGAGTGAAGGGGGGTGAGTTGTCTCTCCTGGAGGCAGTTATGGCTACAGCCAGGTGGTGTTTTGTAAAAGTATTATCAATGGAAAATCCAAACTAAGCAGCTGCAAATAATTTTTGGAACAGGTAAGAGTATAATAAATACAGAAGAGTTGAAACGAAAAACCCATCCAATTTATGTCATTCAGACAAATGTAGATGTTAATAGCAGTTATTGCTTACATCTGTTATCTTAGTTTATTACAAAGTTATGATATATTATTTGGGCGTTTTTCTGTGTTATCACAAGGACTTGATAAGCATTGTTTGACTTTGTTCCTTTCCTTGGGTGGCCGAGCTGTTGTACCTAGATGTCTAAGCACGAAGCATGCTCCTCCCTGGGAGTCACGCTCTTCCCACAGGGGAGCCTTGACTGTGATCTTTTGCATTTTTACAGGTGGGAGGTGGATGTCCTGAGTTCTTAGTGGCCCAGGAGGGCTGACGATAGGCCTTTCTGTGAGGCGGGCAGGTGGCAGGAGTCTGGTGGACAGCCTCCTCCAAGTCTGGTCATGCTAAGGGCGTTTTGAGTTTAAACCACTAGCACCACTTTGAAACTTTGGTCCCAAGGATAGAGTCTGATGTTGTCACTAGCAGCATCTGCCCTTGTCTGCTGCTAGCTCCGATCATTCAGGTAGCCTGTGTGAGGCCTAGAGGCCGATTTCTCCTTGTCCAGCCTTCTTCTCAAGGGAAAGACTGGTGCAGAGAACAGCCAAGTTTTATGCTGGATCGGAGAAATTAGCTATAAGCAGGCAAATGGAAACTAGAAGTTAAAATCAGTCAGTTAAAACCAGGCATGGTGGTGGCTCATGGTAATCCCAGCACTTTGGTAGGCCGAGACAGGAGGATTGCTTGAGTTCAGGAGCTTGAGACCACCCTGGGCAAGGCAGCAAGACTACATCTCTACATAAAATAACTACCTGGGGGAGGCCGAGGTGGGCGGATCACCTGAGGTCAGGAGTTTGAGACCAATCTGGCCAACATGCTGAAATCCTGTCTCTACTAAAAATACAAAAATTAGCCAGGCGTGGTGGTGCATGCCTGTAATCCCAGCTAATCGGGAGGCTGAGGCAGCAGAATTGCTGGAACCCAGGAGGCGGAGGTTTCAGTGAGCCGAGATCATGCCACTGCACACCAGCCTGGGAGATAAGAGTGAGACTCCATCTCAAAAAAAAAAGCTGGGCATGGTGGCATGGGCTGGTAGTCCCAGCTACTTGGGAGGCTGGGAGTTTGAGGCTGGAGTGAGCCATAATTGTGCCACTGCACTCCAGCCTGGGTGACAGAGCAAGACCCTGCCTCAAAAAAAAAAAAAAAGTAAATACTAGGTGATAGGAATTTTTCAGCTCCATTATAATCATATGCACCCACTGTTACATGCGCAGTCCATTGTTGACTGACACGTCATTATCACCAAAGCTGGATTTGATGACTGCTCAGGGGCCTCCAGAAACCTATGGAGTGGTGGCGAAGAGCTCTGCTCCTCCATGGGGGACTGCTGTTGCCTGGGTTGTCAGATCCCTATTATCTGTATTCTCAAGGGCAAGCAGAGGTGGCCTTTTTCTATTCAATTTACCTAAATGGCTCTGGGCCAAGAGATGCTTCCAGAAGTTGTGTTAAAGAGGGGGCAAAAATGAAATTAACATTTGATACATCTGAAGTGGAGAGAGAGATGGAGGAAGTAGTTGACAGTGGGCACTGAGATGTAAAAGAACATCTCTGCAACCCAAGGAAGCAGGCCACTTGGGTGGGGAATTGATATTTGAACTCTCTAAGGAGGTGGAACAGAAGGAGAGGTCACAGCTCTGCCCCAGATCAAACACAACTTGAGGTCCTTCATGACTGTTTTTTGTTTTGTTTTGAGATAGGGTCTCACTCTGTTGCCCAGGCTGGAGTTCAGTGGCACCATCACAGCACAGCAGCCTCAACCCCTTGGGCTCAAGTGGTCCTCCTGCTTCAGCCTTCTGAGTAGTGGGGACTACAGGCATGTGCCACCATGCCAGCCAATTTTATTTATTTTTTTGTAGAGATGGGGTCTCACTATGTTGTCCAGGCTGGTCTTGAACTCCTGGCCTCAAGCAGTTCTCCCACATTGGCCTCCAAGTGCTGAGATTACAGGCATGAACCATCGCACCTGGTCCTCTTTGTGATGATTTAAAGAAGTTGTCCTAGGCCGGCGAAGTGGCTCAGGCCTGTAATTCCAGCACTTTGGAAGGCCGAGGCGGGTGGATCACTTGAGGTCAGGAGTTCAAGACCAGACGACCAACACGGTGAAACCCTGTGTCTACTAAAAATACAAAAATTAGCTGGGCGTGGTAGTGGGTGCCTGTAATTCCAGCTATTCCAGAGGCTGAGACAGGAGAATCACTTGAACCCAGGAGGTGGAGGTTGCTGTGAGCCAGGATTGCACCACTGCACTCCAGCCTGGGCAACAGAGAAAGACTCCACCTCAAAAAGATAAGTACAAACTTCTGGGGTCAGTGGGAGCCAGAGCAGTTAACCAGGGACATCTGTGGGACCTTCACTGCTAGGGGTGCTCACTGGGACTCCCAAGGCCACAAGGAGCAGGCCAGAGCTGCCAGACACCTGTGATGGGGCAAGGGGAGGGGTGGCTTTCTTAATTATAGCTCCATCAGGCTGTGTCCCATGCCCAGTCCCGTGGCATGAGAGCAGGTGGTGGTGCAACACTCTGTGGTTGAGCTGGCTGCTCTCTAGGGCAGTGGCCGTGGTGAATGATTCTTTGTGCCATCGTCATTGCCATGTAGGTCAAGGGGGAGCTCTAGGAGTCTACAAACTCTGAAATGGCTTTGAACCTGTGTCTTGGGGCAAGGAGAGCTGCTTTGAGGGATGAAGGGCTGAGATTTGATGGGCTGCTTGATTTCACTGAAAGCTGTATTCCTTCTTCCAAATAACAACTTTGAGGCCTCAGGAGATTGAGGGTGGCAGAGGCAGAATCACTGTGCAGCTCTGTGAGCTTGTTCCCCGGGCATTGTACCAAACACAGCTTGAGTTCCCTGTCAGAACCCAACTTGCCTTAAAACACCAGCTCCTCCAGCAAGCCTTCCCAGGCATCTCAGCCAAGAGAGATTGCCTGCAGCCTCATCGTGAAGACTCCTTCTTGGGCATTTATGGCCTCACTAAGTTGGGTCTTATCTCAAGGTCAGGGCCCATGTCATCTTTGAAGACCTCATACTCAGTCTCTAACATGGTTTAGGTAGAGTTAAGAGAAACTTAATTGCCAGGAGGGGAGATGTGCATAACTGAGTCCTTCATTACTGCTTAAGAGTGGCAGTCTCCTTGCTCAGAGGGAGCCTTGGGTCTCTGGTCCACTGTGGGAACTCCCGTCCTCCGGAGTGCACGGGACCAAAGGACCTTTTCAAAGGTCCCTGCTAGTCCCTGGCAGATCTCAAAAGCCTCAGGCTATGTTAAAAGGGTCACTTCTCTGTGGTAGATTTCTCCAAGGACTGGTTGGGTTAGTCCGGGAGGTGGAAAGTGAAAGAGAATGGTGTAAATGTGGTAGCCCTTGGCATGTGATTAATCTCTTCTGAGGCCCCAGTAGCTGCTCCAGGCGGTAGGGTTTCAGATTGACGAGGAGAGTGCCTTAAAGTGGGGCTGAGATGCAATTAAAGTCCACTCTTTAAAGTGCCAGGTTCCCTGGAGCCTCCCTGCCTCACAGGGCTCTACCAGCTTTCACTCTGTTTGTGGCAGCAAGGCTCCCTGACCTCTCTTCTTGGCTTTGGGAGCTGGGCCTTTAGGATCCAGAGGGATGGCAGTATCACAGGTCAGGTCCCAGGGGATTCTGTGCTGATGCCTGGGCTCCAGCAGAGCTAGGTCCCTCCCTGGGGGTACTGGAGGCAGAGAGACTCCTGTTTGGACTCCTGATTGGCTGAGGCAGTCCTCAACCCAGCAAGAAATAAGGTCTCCCCCTCTTTCTAGCAAAGGGAGATGATGTGATTCCAGCTTTCCGTTCCAGATAAACCATCTATCCATTTTGCCTTTGGGCCTGGCTGGGCAGAGAAGACTCTGGTTTGATTTTTCTTAATCTGTGGCAGGTGCAGTTGGGAGTTTTGGTTTCTCTAGGTTGCCTGTGGGTGGTCTCACTCATCAGTACCTAGGTTGGTCACAAAATCTAATCCTTCTGCCTTTAATTTCT